AAGAATTAGAGAAAGCAAACCAGGACAGAGCCAGCATGGGATTCCTAGTGCCTGTGCACCCTCAATTTCCTTACCCTGTCTCCCTGGTTAGTGTTACCCACAGGGAGCCAAAATATGCAGCTCTTAGCTCTGTGGAAAAGTTGTGAGATATAAAGAAAGAATTTGTCCCTCTGGGAGAGGTAAATGAGAATATCAGTGGAAAACATTCTTACTTCTGTATTTGTAAGGGCTTTCCTATCACTGCATGTTAATGCCCAGCACTGCAGTCAGGGCTCCAAAGTCTTGTACCAGGAGCTAGGATTCAATAACAAGTAAAAACAAACTCATATGGCAAGAAAATTAGTAATGCAGCATGAACAGAGAAACTTGCATTATGATCCCTCGAATTTTGTGGCAAGCAGTTGTGAGCTCATTCAAAACTCTCCATGGCACAGCAGAAAATAAGAGGATAAGAGCTCTGCAGTCTGTACTTGATGGATGCACCCAGAGCTGATCCCAGCTCCACAACTCCACACTGAATTTCTTCCTTTGCCTTTTCAGCAAATATGGGGTTCATGTCAGGAGGTAAAGTGGTGAGACCAACCATGCCAGATGGTCTGTGACACAGAGGAAAAGCAAAGCCCTTTACATTGACAGAGTTTAATATTGAAAATTTGCTTAAAATAAGAGCAAAACTGGTGCAAAATGCATGCAATTAATCCACTACTGAGTCAGATTTCAGGCAGAACCATCGAATTGTCTAGATCAGTATCAAATTCACAGAGCTGTGTTGGAGATCAGAGGCTCTGTGTGGGTAGAAGACCAAAAGTGGATTTGACCCACAATCAGTAGCACAAGCATAGAAGAGCTTTTCTTTCAACAGTTTTGCATAAATTCATTCAGTGACAAATGTGTCAGTTGAGCAAGTGAGCCTTTATTAGACTTGAATTTAGCAGCAAATCTGGGAAATCCTCCCAAAGCAACTATGGCTTCAGGATCCCAGATTTGCACTTCTAATTAAAACACTGTCAGTTTAGGTGTAATTCTCCATAAGGAATGGATTTGGGGAGGGGGAAGGGAGAAGTGGGAGAGAACTGAGCCGGTGCTTGAACAGTTTTCCAATGAGGTTTATTCTGTATATTTTCTGATGATCTTGTTAATATTTTTTTGCAAAAATGTATTGTTCTCTTCTAATAGATGGCAAAGCAAAAGCAAACTCCTGCTGGCTTTTCCTACCTTCCATGAGGGATAAGATCAAAGAGAAAATTTTTTGATCAAGGATTGCATTTTGTTTTAAGAAATGAGATTATAGATGCATGATTTTCTATTCCTGTATGATCCATCAATGCTAAGGCTAAAATATTCAAACAAATCTCTTCCTGGGAACAAAGGGAACTTACAATTCCTTTCTGTGTTCTGCTGGTAAGATGCAGTTATTTTTGCAAGGAAAGGTTTTTAAAAAGTCATGTAAGTAAAAAAAAATTATTACTTTCAGCTTGGCCATCTGCAGTATTTTTATTGGGCAGATTTAAAGTAGCACATTTGAGAATTATCTTTTAAATTATATATGCAGTAGGTAAGGATATAATGTACTATAAATGCTAAAAGATAATTATTTGTAAGAGAAAGCAGAAACAAAATTGTTTACCATGTTAAAATTATACCATTTAGTCTTTCAGAAATTAAACTATAAGTAATAGCAAAAAGCAAAGCTTGAACAGACCCAAAACAACCATTTTCAGAGTGCTACTTTTAGAGGACATTTGCAACCGTTATCTTTGCATTCCAAATGAGAATATTAAGGCTTTATTTACAATTTCAGAGTTTTCCACGGTCCTGAAATCTTGGTTCCCAGCCAGCTCTAATTTTAAGTAGATTGTGCACTGTGGATAATGAGGGCAGAGTATTTACTACTTACTCCTGCAAGGGTAATGATGGGAAGGAGCATCCTGTTCTTGCCAGTTCTGGGAGGCACAGGCAGGATCCCAAGCCAGGGACAAGAGTGGGGGTGTGTTATTTTACACAGCACAGGCAGGGATAGAAGAAGAAATCAAGATATCTTATTTTGGATTGTGTAGGAAAGAAGAGTCTAGGTGCAGAGGAAATAACATAGGTTGAAAAAAGTACAGTCTGGTCTATTTAGATATTTTACCCCTTTTTGCACCCCATTAATGAAAACTTCTTACACTGTTACCCTTGCTTATTTTAGTCCAATTTTATTTAGACCCTGCTGTTTGCAATGATAATGAACATAAATGAATGCAGAGGTCAAAACAGACAGATCCAAATATCTGAGCCTTAGCACATCTTTAAAGACCTAACCAGGGTGCTCAGTCTCACCTGAGCTCTGCAGGGGCTGAGTTAGTGACTCCTTTCCACTCAGCAGGGAGCTGATTCCTTAACGTTATGCTTGAACAGGTACAGGGACACGTCCTCATGCAGGAGGATTTAAACCCCACAGCACCCATTAGTGAGGAGAGAAGGACTTGAGCCAGGGCTCAAGCTGCAGAACATTTCTGTTATACAAGGTCATTTTTTGTTACCCAGCTCCAGAGTGAGACTTTCAAAACCTCGCAGTGACTTCAAAGCACAAAATGCATCTACTCCTCTGTGACTGCTCTTACTAGAGCATAAACATAAATTCTAAGTCCCACTGGTTTTTGACCAGGCTTTTAGCTCCCTAATGTTGAAGTCACTCATGTCAGAAATCAGACAATATCTCCTAAATTAAAAAGGCACTTTGTAAATGTGCCCTGTGATGGAGGCTCTGCTGTTCATCTGCTGTGTCTACAGAAGGAGCAGAACAAGGTGGTAACAGATATTACCTTTGCAAGCACTTGCCATTTTAAGCAGGCATTGGCTCAGTCTAAACAGACAAGAGAAACCCAACTAGTTCTGTCCAGCCTGTGTTCACTGCTCCTGGGCCAGGGTGTCACGGGGATCACATCTGTGGTGTGGTGTTCATCATGACTATCATTACATTCCTTATTGCACTGCTCTGTTCTTCCAGATTCTCCATCACTGGCCAGCTCTCCCTGGTGCTAACAGTCCATGTCCTGCAGGTCCCATGGGCTCAGTGTTTTCTCTGCTGTGCATTTCAGCAGTTTTGGTTCACAGCTTCCAGCTCCAGGTCAATCCAGCAATGAGGGCAAGCATTGCCCACTAGCAGTGTCACAACAAAACATCACTCACTCACGAGGCCCCTGCCATGCTGGCAGCCCTAGCAGCTGCTGACCACCTCTCCTCTCCTCCACAGCCTGTGAGAGTGAGCACATCCCTCCTCCTGCCATGAGGAGGAATGACCAGCACCAGCAGCAGGGACAGCCCAGATGAAACCAGTCCATGATGGACACATGAATCCTGCCTGCATCCTTCTGTCTCCCTGGGGAAAGAAAAAGAAACAGCCCATTCTCCCTCCTCCCCCAGCCCTCCCTGTTACCTTCCAGGCTCAGCAGCCCCAAGTTACTTCTCCATGCTGTCAGTGCCAGGTGTGAAGCTGGGAAGCACAAGCCATCTGCAGCTGAGGGCAGGCAGCCCCCTGGGCTTAGCTGGTGGTGAATATCACCAGGATGTTGAGGGTCTGGAGGCAGGAATCTGGCTGACTGCAGCTGAAGGGATTGAAATCAGTCGCAGAAATATCTCAGCTTCATCAGGAAGGAAAGGCTTTATAATTTGCAGCTGGAGATGAATGTGATTATTTGCCATGCAAATGGATTTTGCCAGCTCAAAGTGGCCTTCATCAGCAGAGATTGTTGTATTTGACATTATCTGGTTACTTTTGTTTAATGCCTCTGTGCTTTTTCTGAGCGCTTCCTTCCCTGAGCACACATCATCCAGACTAATTTTCTTCCTCTTCCTCATCAATCTGAAGATGTGTGCATTGAATCTATAGCTGCCTCCCTCCCCAGTCCCTCTCCAAATATGAAACAAATGGTGAAGCTGTATGTGCTGACAGTCCTGCAGCCTGAGTGTTCTCTGCAGATGGGACACAAGATGCTCGCATTTGTCTCACCTAACTTTAGCCCTTAGCTGGACTGGGATATCTCTGTTACCATCCCATAAACCATATTTCTGCAGAGTGACTCAGATCAGCAGAAAGACAATGCTGAAACATGGTCCCCTGTGGAGAAATAAATGGTGTTTCTCACAGGCAGGTCCTCCTTAGCCAGGCTGTCTGGCTTTATCAAACAGCATTGTATGTTCCCTTCTGTCTGGGACAGCGCTCTGCATCTAGAGAAGGAGCATATAAATAATTTAGACAGAATGCCTGAATGCTGACATCATTCTAAAATCCTCTTCCACTCTTAAAAAATATCTGAAAATATTTTAATATTAATGCCTGCTTGACTTATTTGCCTCTATAGCTATCAAATGGTTAGTTAATTGGCTATTTGAGTGCAGACAGTACAAAACACCTAGATTTTAAAGCATTATTATGAACATCTTGTCTAACCATCTGCTGAATACAAAAGAGAGAATGTCAGTAGGCAAATTATTCATTAAGACCATAACTCCTCTCTGAGCTTCAATATGTCTTACAGAAAAACACAGGGGTTGTTTTGTTAAACTTCAGGCGATGGAGGAGCTCACCAGAAGATCACAGCTGGGCTGTGCTTCTGGTCTGGTTCCATGCTGGTGCTCCTTCCTGCCAGGGTACATGGTACAACAGAGACCTCAACAGAGGCATTGTTGATGGGCATTGCCCCCTGCCCAGCTAAACTTTCTCATAATTATCTCCATATCTTGTTATTAATATTGTACTCTGAAAGGAATTGAAAATCAAAGTAAATTCTCTCTGTTTATTGCTAATTTTTTTTCACTGTGAATTTATTTATCCCCACTCTAATTACATCAACACCTTTAAAAGCAAATTAGGAACTGAGACAGACTCCTGGCTTCCTTGGAAGCAGCTGGAGAGTGCAACTTTGGGTAAATGGCCAGGTAATGATGGGCCTGCAAGCACAAGCTGCACCTTTCAGGCCTTCCCCCTGGTCCTGCCTGACTCTCCTCTCTGTGCCCAGGTCTCTCTCCGGCCGCATAGTGGGTGGCGTCTGGTGGTTCTTCACCTTGATCATCATATCCTCCTACACAGCTAACCTGGCTGCCTTCCTCACCGTGGAGAGGATGGTGTCCCCCATCGAGAGCGCAGAGGACTTGGCCAAGCAGACAGAAATCGCCTATGGCACCCTGGAAGCTGGCTCCACTAAAGAATTTTTTAGGGTAAAAAGGAAACTTTAATGCAAACGTTTTTCTAAGCTTCTTGTTTGGCAAGTCCTCCAGGTCCGTCCTCTCTCGTCCTCAGCTCAGGTCTGGTTTTTTTTCACTTGCTTCCCCTCACCATGTTACAGCCTGCCAGAAGATTGGCAGTGACTCCAGTGCATGTGATATTCTGTAGTTGTGAACACAAATATGGAATATCCGTGAGCCTCCCCACGTTACCAAGGACCTGCTCTGAGCAACTCCAAATGAAACCGTCTCCAGATTTCCAGCTTGGCTTGCCCTTGGTTTGATCTGCAAAATCACTCTGTACAAGAATATAAAATCAGGGATTGATCTAGGCCCTGGTGCAGAAGTGGTAACAACCTGTTACCCCTTTTGGCTTCCTTGGCCTGTTTGATGTGTGGGTGTGTGTTCAGTCCAAGCTGGAAATCTCAGGGGGCACCCAAACCTCCGTTAACGCTTCTGTTGGGTTTCTGCTGTCCTACGCAGCGATCCAAAATAGCAGTGTTTGAGAAGATGTGGACGTACATGAAGTCAGCCGAGCCCTCTGTTTTTGTGAGGACGACGGAGGAGGGGATGATCCGGGTGAGGAAGTCCAAAGGGAAGTATGCTTACCTCCTGGAGTCCACCATGAACGAGTACATCGAGCAGCGGAAGCCCTGCGACACCATGAAGGTGGGAGGTAACTTGGACTCCAAGGGCTATGGTATTGCCACGCCAAAGGGCTCTGCGCTCAGGTAAGTAGCTTGGGGTTGCTTCCTTCTGCCAAACCACCCAGCAAATCAGTGTATGCACACAGTTCAATCTCCATTGCCATGTTAATCATGAAAGCTTGGGGTAAGGAGGTGGGGGAGGTGGAGGAAAAAAGGGTTGTGACCGCTCAGTGGGATGTGCAGGGAAGTAAAATGCCCAGCTCCCACTGAGCAGCAATGGGAGTGTCTAATTCTTCGAGCCCTGCATTTGGGAACTGGATCCTGGCTGATCCACTTGCTATGAATGTGTCTGCTGTATGAGGTGATGGCAGGGGGCTGCTGTGGTGTAACCATTGGTTTCACAGAGCTTTATCCAGAAGGGACGCTCATCCTGTGCCATGTGAACTGCACAGCTTTGCAGAGTATGGGATTACCCTGGCTTGGATCCATGCTTGCAGAGGGAGTTCTCATGGGGAAAGCATTTTGGTGTTCCCTAAAATGGAATGCTGGTGGAAGAGGCGGGAAGTCCACTTTGAAAAGCCCTGCAAAGGGTGTTTCATTCCCTGAGTCAATTCAGATCCCAGCAAGCACCAAATTTATAGCAAGTCCAAAGGGGTACAAACACTGCATTTCTGAGCCCAACCTGCAGCTGCCACATCCCTTTGCCTACTGGCCTGTGAAGAATCTTCAGAGACCTTCCTTTAAAAGGATGAACTCTTTAAGAGCACATACTCAGCCCTGAGTTGTTAGCAGAGCCTGGGCACTGCAACCAGCTGCACTCGAGGACATGAGCATCCATCATGAAAACTGACCTGTTCAGAAGAGCATTGCCACAGTCCCCAGAGTAGTATTGTGATCTTGGACATGTCAGAAGTGTGGTTCCTTTTGGCAGCAGCCATGTCAGTTCCTCCTGTTACAATCATGAGGAACATGAGTTGCAATGGTTTAGTAAACCATTAGATTACCAAACCAAACCATGAGATTACCAAACCATTAGATCTCAGGACCTGTAGCATTAAGTAATCAGAATGATACTCTAATGTATTTCATTAGTTACTGAATTATTTATTAATGGAAGCATATTGACCAGAAGTGTACATGTGGCCTTATAGTTGTTTGTTAACATAACCCAATGCAGACATTTAATCCAAGATCTCTGGATTTCTAGAAACCAGATTATTACCAGATGACCATTTGCAGAAGGATCTGTCTGGTCATATAGTGTCCAACCCAAAGCCAGCCCAAAAAATCAAAGGTGCATCACTGGTAGTGGACAAGACCCAAGGATTTTGATTACTACAGTCCTTCAGTCAGCTCACACTCAACTGAGCACTTCCAATACCAGCAGTAACTTTAGAGAAGCTGGTGTGACACCCTGCAGGTGATAACCTGCACCACCAGTGCACATGGTCCAGAAGGAAATTCTTGCATCCAGTGCAGTTCAGGCTCTGAAATGACTCAGGTACCTCCAGCTGAAGGTGGACATATTCTCACAGCTTTGAGATGCTTTCTGATGCACACCCTCCACTGTTTGTTTTCAGTCTTGCAAATATGGAAATTAGGATCCAGGGATGATTCTATTTAATTAATGACTTATTTAAACATCAGTCTTGGATCCTAATTTCAATATTATAAAAACAAACAAACAAACAGGAACATCCTACCTGTCTTGTAATTTTCAGCATGGGAAAGAGCCATTTTTCATGCTTCAAAGACAAATAAACCACAAGAAAGAAAATCACATCAATCATTTTACTTTTGCAACCCCAAACATCCCTCTGCTAGGCATGACTCCAAAAAATTTCTAACATTTCTTTCTGTTTCCTCTTTTTCATCCTGGCTGCATGTAGAACAAATTTCTTATGGGCCTAATGGCAAAGGAGGAATGCTTGATTTTCCATCTGATGGTGTTTCTTTGGAACAGTTCCTGTCCATTTTTTTGTCCCATTGTGTCTGTTTTGTTCCTGTTGTTTTAACTGTTTTAATCTCAGTAGCTCCCTACAGTCCTCGTGTAGTGTCTGTTCTCCCCCTGGGGTCCTGCTCGTGAGAGGTTGCCCTGAGCAAGGGGACAGCCCTGAGGTGTCTGCCCAGCACGGCCATCCTGCCTCCCACTCAGTCTCCATCCTCACCCACTCCCATCCACAGAGCAAAAGCTCTGAGCCAGGATTGCAGGAGGTTTGTGACCCAGGTCTCTCTTGTATCATCAGGTGTGTTTTAGAAGCTGGGCATTGTAGCTAGACCAGTTTTCCTGCGTTTAGGATAGCTAGTTAGGAAAGAATCCTAGAGACAAACTACAGGAGCATTCACCATATATTTTTCTTGCTTCTACATGGGCAAACAATGTCAGGATGCTGCCACAAAGGAATGAAAACAAGGTTGATAATCCAGAAATAATTCTACATGTGGCAGTAGGTGCAAACAGCCTTTTCAGAAGATCAGAATCTTTCAGAAGATTTGGTCTCTTGGACTGCTAAAAGAAATTACTTCTTCCTCCTAGGTGAATCTGGCTTTGAATATCTTTGACCTCTAGATGTTAAACATTTAGTTATATTTAAGCATGTCTGAGAAGGGCAGTAATGGGAGGGCAGAAATTTCACTTTTCAACACCAGTGAATTCAATCTGTGATCCTGCCTGACATGAGATTGTTTCTCTGCTGCAAAACACACCCATTTACCCAGCAGGAGATCTTCTCCACTGCTGGACAAGTGATCATAAAGAGAGGGAAAAGCCAAATTATCTGAAACAGGGTAAAGAAAACCTGAGAAATTCCTTGTAGGTCTGGACTCAGGGACTAGAGAGGTTTTTGAGATGGCAATCTGTGAGAGCAAGTTCTTCAGAGCAGCCATATTGACATTAAAGTTCCATTAAACAGAAGTCAGCTTTCCCAGGGTCTGTGAGTGAACACAAAATGTTCCCTGTTAAAAACCCACCTTGATTCAGGACCCCAGACTTTTCAGTCTTCCATCAAAATACAGTCAAGGTGTAGTACAGCTTGTTCTGTGTTCTCCCTGGGAGCTGGAGAGGCAATTAACCAAAATGAAGCTTCCTAGGAAAGAAAAAACATAATGTTCAGCACATGGCTCCAAAAATCATATTGCTGATAATGTGCTCAGGGAAACAGCAATACATTTACTTTGTTAACACCTTGTACCCACATAGAAGCTGCAATGTATTTTGGCTCATTAGTTAACTAATTTTTCACAGATGGTTCAGGCATCAGAGTGCTAAGTAACCTGTATTCTGTTTTAGGAGACAGAATAATTATGATTTACTTAGTGTCAGATTCTTTTTGGACCTACACTCACATGTTCCCATTTGCTTTAAATGCAACCAAAGTCAGGCTCTGACCAAAATACCATTGGAGCTGAAAAGGGAAACTATTGATCCACCTTCGAATCTACACCTTCGCCTTCTCTTGGACTGGTAGCAAGCTTGACTGCATCTGGATTTTGCTTTTTGAAGGCAGGCTTCTGCCTGAAGGAGGCTCCCAGTCCTTGTGAAGGCTTCAGTGCTCGGATGGGATCCCAGCAGGCAGAGCCATGGCGGGCTCGTGGAGGTCAGCACATTCCTCTTGCTCACAGTCAGCTCATTTTTGAACTGCAGCATAGGAGAACAGCCCCCTTGG